TGCCATCTAGTTGGTTCTGACTCATAGCCACCCAGGTTTCCTAGACTTTAAAAAAAAATCTTCTTAGGAGCAGAAAACCTCACCTTTCTCACATGGAACAGATAGTGGACTCCAACTGCTGATCTTGTGGTTTGCAGTTTTCTTATCTTGTTAAGTGCCATCAAGTCACTTTTGACCCATAGAGAAGCTGGTGGGTTTGAACCGCTGCTTATTCTACAATGCCACACCAGGACTCATATAGGTCTTTTACTGATGGAGAATTCCTTGGAAATTACTCCTGTGAAATTTTAACTTCTCCTGATACTCCTTATGTGTATTTAAATTGTTGTTGTTAAGTGCAATTGAGTCGGTTCCAACCCATAGTGACCCTGTATAGGATTTCCGAGAAGCAGCTGGTGAGCTTGAACTGCCCACCTTGTGGCACAAACAGACTGCAGTTCAGCGCATTAACCCATAGCACCATCCCAGGACTCAAAGTAATTAGAAGAACCTTTATCTCTTTCTAAGGAGTCATGGGGCTATAGTAGTTCACTGCTCAGCTGGGAGCCCGAAAGATGGTTTGAATCCACCAGCTTCTCCATGGAGAAATATGAAGTCTGTTTCCATAAAGATTTACAGCTTCGGCAGCCCCGAAGGGCAGATCAGCTCTGTCCCATAGAGTCCTGTGAGTTGGAATTGACTCCGCGATAGTAACTGAGTTTTCTTGCTGCTGGTATTGTAATCACTATAGAAACAAGTTTCCTTTTTCCTCAGAGAGCTAGGAACAGCATTGTTGTTATTAAAATTTTATATGAAACTTAGAAATGTATTATTTATTATCTCTCTACAGAAAAGAATTCCATAAAACATAATACCCTGGGGAAGAATTTGGGAATAGAACCTTACAGATAACTTAAATGAAAAGAAGACACTTGCCATTCTTAAGAGATTAGGATTTTTACCAGTATTTTTTTTTTTCAGAATGCTGATATTGTTCTCATTGCCATAGTTCACAATGCATCTCCAGCCCTCATACATTAAATCTTTAAAGCAGGTTTGTTCCTGGTGTATATTAAGATGCCTTCCTGTGCCCTTTAGGCCTGGGAATAAACTTACTCCCATGACTCAATTTTCAATCAAACAATTGTTGTTGTTGTTAGGTGCCATCGAATCGGTACCAACCCATAGCGACCTTATGCATAGCAGAATGAAATATTAAATATTGCCCGATCCTTGGCCAACCTCACTATTGTTGCCATGCTTGAGTCCATCGATGCTGCCACTTGGCCAATCCATCTCGTTGGAGGTCTTCCTCTTTTTCTCTGACCTTCCACCTTACCAAACTTGATATCCTTCTCCAGCAACTGCTGGAGAAGGTCAGTAAGGTGAATAATAATACTAGGGACTTAAGCACTCCTTATAATAGTCAATCTTTTGGGATCAGAAGAACAATGGTTGCCCATAATCCCTAAAGTTAGGAAAAAAGGAGTGGAAATGGAAAACATAGGGAAGAAGAGGGGATTAGTGATGTTAACATTGTGGGGATTTCAATCAATGACACAAAGCAAAGGAATGCATCCTTAAAAAAAACTTTTTATTTTGAATTGGATGAAGGTTTACAAAGCAAACCAGTTTTCCATTCATCCAATTCAAAATAAAAAGTTTTTTTTATTATTTTTAAAGATGCATTCCTTTGTAGAGTGTTAAGTGGCTAGATTTGTGGCTTTGATCTGCCGTTTTCTTCTATTTATAGTCAGTTCTGGAATCCCGGTGTGGTGCTATAGGATACTGCAAGGTTGGTGGATTAAACTCACCAGCTGCTCCTCGGAAACCCTATACAGGGTCACTATGGGCCAGTACCAACTCAGTGGCACTTAACAACAACAACATAGTCCTAGTGTGGTGCTGTAGGAGAAGCACTGGACAGCTAACTGCAAGGTCAGCATTTCAAACTCACCACCAGCTCCTTGGAAACCCTATACAGGGTCTCTATGAGTCACTATAGACCGCTGGTGTGGTGCTGTGGGTTAAGGCACTACACTGCAAGGTCAGCAGTTCAAGCTCATCCCATGCTCCTGAGAAACCCTATGCAGGGTCGCTATGGCTCGGAACCAACTCAATGGCATTTAACAGCAACAGAGTCACTATGGGAGTCCTGGTGCGGCGCTGTAGGATAAGTACTGGATCATAAAGTTGATTTGAACCACAAGGTTGGCAGTTCAAACTCACCAGCTGCTCCTTGAAAACCCTATACAGGGTTGCTATGAGTCGGAACCTACTCAGTGGTACGTACCAACAACAGCATGAGCCCAGTGCTTTTCCTACATACAGTGCTTACACTTCCCTGAGGAGTCTTGGTTTGGCACTGTGGGATAAAGCACTGGACCACAAGGTTGGCTTGACCCACAAGGTGGGTGATTCAAACCCACCATCTGCTCCTCAGAAACCCTATACAAGGTCACTGTGAACTGACTCAGGCACAATAACTGCATACTTCCCAGAAGTCCATACCTCATTAACATAGTTAGTATTGTATTCTCTCCATAACAAAGGAAACTTAGCTGCTGATAAAAGGATTTGTTTTCTTGATTTCAGAAGAACTATATCCCAATTATTCCTTGAAACAGTATATAACTATAGTCAGTGTATTAAGTTACTATTTTATCTCTTAATTTTGGTTCTATTTTCATGTAAATGATGTATTACTCAGAAAGGAAAGAAAATAGAACCACGAAGTTAGAACGACCATTCTCCTCCTCTTAGGTAGATAATGCTATCGTCCAGCTGAAGGAACCATCACAGTGCAGAGCTGCACAGGCTCACGAAGGAGCGGACAGCCATCTTTATCCATTGGATCCATCATAGGTTATTTAAGAGCTGGAATTCATAGTCATGCTGGTTTCTGGCACATTCTCCTCAGTAGAAAGTTATTTTTTTACTTGATTCTACAAGGGGGCTTCAAAAAGTTTGTAGTATAATGGAATTAAAAGATAACAGAATTTTTCAACAAACTTTTTGAAGCCACTTGTATAACCAAGTAGAAAAATAACATAATCAAGTAAAAAAAAAAACAACAACAGAGGATGCCAGGTTTAGTCAATTTGGATTTTAAGTATTTTGAGTGTCTGTCTAAAGTGGATAAAATATACTTCGCCATCTATTTTGAATTAGGGAATGAAAAACGTACTTGAAGTTCACAGATAAAAAGCTTTGAAATGTGAATTTTTTTTTTTTTTTTACAAGGACTTTGTTTCCTTATTTAGAATAATGGTGTACAGTTTTGTACTTGAGCTTGTGTTAATAATGGGAGTATGAAGCAGAATTGAAAATAATGGTTGAACCTTTATTTTGGTTGCATTACTGTTCAGGGTGTGTGCCTGTCTCTTGACTAGAACATGAAGAAACTATTGATTTCCAGAGAATTAATGTCAGGAATATACGCACTGTGCCCTTCTTCAGCATCCGTGGACACTTGTCTCTAGTTCTGAGCTCTTCCAACTTCTTTTTCATCATTCAAAAAGATAAAAAAATAAAAAAGCATTTAACTGCTTGGTAGCCCTATCTAGTCTGATTTTTCTGACTGTTGATTTTCCTCTGTTAAGTGATGTATGTGTACATTGCATGGATTAGGAATACCTTCTGGGGTCTGGGCAAGTGGGCATGGATTGATATTTTCAGATTACCTGCAGTGCCTCAACCAGCAGTGTGTGACTCCTTAAGTCATAACTAAAGATGACTCTTTGGTGTTGGATGAATCTATAGGAATACAAAAAATGCCTCATTAATGATGTATTTCCTTTTGAGAAATGAGTTCTCTTAATGCTTTTAAGAGGTAGGTAGGTAGTAAAATACCTAATTTTTGCAACTGTGTGCAACAAACAAAAAAGTCAAACTTGAATCTCTTGACTGTTTACTAAGTTTATCCCTGGGCAGCCTGTATGTTTTAAGAGTCCTTTAGTCAGGACCTTCTTTGTCAGTTGTGTTTAAATAACTTTAGCATAAGGAGGTTTCTCTTCCTTTGGGTTGTGCCTCCTGGTTCTTAAGAGCTTGACTAGTGCCAGACAGCTCCAGTGGTGCTTGCTCATTAAGTTTGCTCCGTTACTTATTTAAATTACTTGTAAAGTATATGCTGTGTCAGGCATTTTGTTACAACTCTATCTGCTGTCTTTTGTTTTTTTAATCATTTCAGGACTGTTGAGGAATATTATAATATCTCAAGATGGTATTAGATTGGGATCATGTATTTTCCAAAAAGAAGTACCTACCTGGCTCATTGTATTGTTCCGCTCTGAGGCAACCTTGGGGGACCACAATCCCCATCTTTAAGCTTGTAAGGATTATGATGCTTTTAAGGCTGTGCAAGGTGTTTGTGACAACTTCTAACTATTGCTTGCTAACTCCCTGCATCCTAACTCCCTAAATGACTAAGAACTCTTCTATGAGCTTCTTGTCTGCTGAAACACTTTTGAAATTTCACCATTTTCTCCCTCTGTCTGCCACTCTTTGTACCAGATCCATCCTCACTGAAAACTCTATGAGCTGCTTACATGACAGTAATAAATTGTGTGTTTTATATGAAGTTGTCAGGGGCTTAGCATGTGATCGATGAGCCACTCTCCCTCTCTGAAGTTTTTTAGACAGGTCCCACATAATGAACAAGTTAGTTCAGTTCCTAAATCTGTCTTTAAATTGAATTTGTACATTAAGTTAGAACAGGTATGGTTTGTATCTATTAGCAAAATTGCTTCTCTGGATGCTCTGTAAGTGGTGAGTAGATTGTCTCCAATTACACAAATGTGTAAATTCATTCTCTCTTTTTTTGCTGTGCTATTTTGCTATCAGAAAGGCTTCTGAATTGCATCTGACCTAGTGACTTGTGTTGTACTGAGGCACAGAGACTCCTGGTAAGTCAGTGGCAGCAGTCTGAGGGGCACTTTGGTCAGGGAAAGCTTTAGCATACGGCAGTAATACTAACAGGTTACAGTTTGCTTTTCTTTTGTCTCTCCCATTTCTTTTTAAAGGAGTGGTGAATGTGCTGCTAACAACTCCACTCTGGGTGGTAAATACCAGACTGAAGCTGCAAGGGGCAAAATTCAGGAATGAGGACATTGTACCAACCAACTACAAAGGTATTATTGGTAAGTGTCTTCTGGGTGAGTTCTTGTTTGAAGGTTTTCTTTTCTCTTTGTATCTGGACTTTACTGCCACAATGATGCTGTGTAACAGCTTCAGATCTCAGTGTACACAAGCACTTTTCTAGCTCATGTGTCTATGGTTTGACAGCCTAAATTTGATTGTTCTAGGCTAACCCCAGCCTGCAAGTCTCAGCTCCCCATATCTCTAGTCCTCACCTTGGGGCCAGCCAAAGCATGTTCTTCTCAGGATGATGGCAAAAGTAAAAGAGTAAAAATTATACCAGCATATATATAAGTCCCTGCTTGCATTTTGCTAACATTCAGTTGGTCAAGGCATATCACATGGCCAAGCCTAAAGACAAGGGGTAGAGAACTATACTGCTCACATGGAGTGGAGGGAAAGGGCTGACATTAAAACAAAATAATAATCTGCTATGCATGTTTTCTCGAGTTTAGTACCTTTTGGATAAAGGTACCAGGTTAATATTTGATACCTTTGAACTTCTGCTTTTTGATAGTACCATACTGCCAGTTTCTCCTTTCCTGTGTTTCCTTCTTTGTATATTAAAGCAATGTAGAGAGAACCTTTTAGAATGAGAGCAATGGTTTTCTTAAAAGGAAAATCTCCTGTATGTAGTGGACTTATCTTATGTTATACTGGACTTTGCTGTGAAACCTGTGGGCTATCAGTTCATAGTACTACAGAGTTCTTGGTGGTGTTGCTGCTGATTAGTTAGGAACACTTGGCATTCTAACCTCAGATTGTCAGAAAACAATTGCCTATGATTGAAGCTGATCTCTCAATAGCTTGGTGTGACTGTCAGTGTCTGATTATTATTTTAAAAATAATTATCTGTTGAATTTTCCCCTAAATTAGCGGGTTGTTGCAAGGGTTTCTGAAAGTCCCTGATTTTTTGCTTAGATGCGTTTCACCAGATAATTCGAGATGAAGGAATCTTGGCTCTGTGGAACGGTACATTCCCCTCCTTGCTGTTGGTCTTCAATCCTGCTATCCAGTTCATGTTCTACGAAGGTTTAAAACGGCAGATTTTAAAGAAACGACTGAAGGTAATCCCCAAAGCAGTGAAATAATAATCTGGTGGTTCAGTGGGTAAGTGGTCAGTTGCTAACTGAAAAATTGGTGGTTCAAACACACCAGCTGTTTCTTGGGAGGAAGATGTGACAATCTGCATATATAAAGATTGTTGGTTGTTTGTTGTGAAGTACCATCGAGTTGGTTCCAACTCATACTGAACCCTGTATTGTGTTTCCCAGGAGCAATAGGTGATTTGAACCGCCAACTTTGCAGTTCAAATGACCCTGCGGTCCAGTGGATTATCCTATAGTGCTATTAAGATTACAGCCTAGAAAATCCTCAAGGGGCGTTTGACTCTGTTCTGTAGGGTTAATGTGAGTTGAAATTGACATGATAACACATCAGTTGTTAGGATTAACATGTTTCTGTCTTCCTTTGCTTTCCAGCTTTCTTCTGCAGACGTGTTCATCATTGGTGCAATAGCCAAAGCAATTGCCACCACCGTCACCTATCCCATGCAGACTGTACAATCGATTTTGAGGGTGAGTATAGGGCTCTCCCCATATGCAGCCAGGCAACATGCTTTAATACAGCGTCTCTCTGCTTGAAAGCCTCAACTCCTTTTTATCGTTGTTGTTAAGTGCCATTGTGGTGGTTTTGACTCACAGTGAATGATCCTGTATAGGGTTTTCGAGATTGTGAATCTTTACCAAGCAGGAACAGAAAGCCTCATCTTTCTACTGTGGAGTAGCTGGTGTGCTCAAGCCACTGACATTGTGATTTGCAGTCCAGTGTTTATCCTAAAGAGCCGCTGCATTCCCTTCAACTCCTTTAAGCAGTGTTAATAAATGTTTATCTTCTCATCTTTCAAGATGTTAGGGAAATTTTCTTCCAGAAGCTCTTCAGCTATCTCCTCTGTGGACCTCTCTGATTCTTCCTGTTCCAGAATGCCAGTAATTCTTAAATTGTTCCTCTTCATGTTATCCAGCTTGAATCTTAGACTCTCTTCAGATTTTTTTTTACCCTTTTTTCTGCTTGCTCTTCTATCTTAGCAGTATTGAGAGATTTGTCTTCCAGCTCGCTGGTTCCAGCTTCCATCTCTTCAATTCTGCTCCTTTCCCCTTGCAGTGTATTGTCCATTTCTGATATTTTATTATTAATCAACTAGACCTCTTTTTGCTGGTTTTGAATTGTTTCCAATGCTATATTGTTTTTGTTTGATTGCTCTTGTAGTACTTTCCTGACTTCTTCCTTGTTTTCCTCTACCCCTTTTCAGAGCATTTGAATTTGTTTCCATATCATTCTTCTGAATTCCTTCTCAGGCAAATCCAAAACCTGTTCTTCTTCTTCTGGAAAGCCTTTGTCTGTCTCCAGCTCATTTGTCTCAGTTACTCTTTTTTGATTTTAGACATGTTTTGATATTTTTTGTTGTGTTTTGTTGGTCATTTCTAGTAATGGGTTTTTAATGCTTAAATGGATGTTAGTTGCTGTGTTATTAAGCTTTCTGTCTGTCTCCTGGTGGATATGATCAGGAGATAGGCTTTCCTTTTCACATGTAATGCTTAGCAGCTATTATTGGCTCTTGTCTCAATGGTGGAATATTATGGGGTATGTTTGTTGCTTGTCTATATGGCCACAATTACTCTTCTTGGGTAATGTGGGAGACAAAGCTCCCACCTCCAGGAAAAATGTGTGATCAAAAGGCCCAAAAGCAGAAGCAATATACAAGCAGAGACAAAAACTATCACTTTGAAACAAAAATAAAACTGTGGCCGACTGGCTAGTCACACAGGCAGTGTGTGTGCACCATAGACCATAGACGCCTCCAGTAGTGGGTGGGGTTGTCCACGCACTCAGGCCCCTCCTCTAGTCACCAGCGTAGAGGTGCACAGATAGATATTGAGAAGTTAATGAGAGAAAGATTGTCTACTATTTTTGCCTCTGAAGGTCAGTTAGGTATCTGCGTGTGCACAGTGTAATTCTTGAAATAGTTGTCTTTTTATGTTGGGGTTTTACAGATTGTTCTATGGTTTATCTGTCAGGCCAAACCTGCTTATTTCTTGCTGGATAGGCAGGAGTAAAGGGTCCCACAAAAGTTAACTTTAGGGCTGGGACCCACAGGCAGAAGTCAAAAGGAGCAGCCAAAGAATTTGCCCTTGGACCGATGGGGCTCTTGCTCTCTGTGCATGGGAAAACTGTGGTCTCAATGCTGGACTTTTTTGGGGATGCGCACTCACCCTCCTGAAGGTGTCCGGACTGGGCAACGAAGGCGTGACAGGGAAGAGGAGGAAAAAATGTGTAGAATCCCCCCACACCTCCTTTTGCAAATGTCACTGAGCTGCTTTTAGCACTGTTTCCCTGTGCCCCGGGTTCCCTATGCCGGTCTGGCAGTGGCCCCGCCCTCTGCCTTCTGCCCACTGCCTGGGCTGGATGGCCAAAGAGGGAGTCCCATGTCTTGACTGATCCCTAAGTCGCAGTATTTTCCTTTGTATGTGATTTTTCCACTGGCGGTTGTGGGAAACTGATGCCCTGAACTTTATGCTAGATCCAGGTGCGGTTCCTCGAGAGCAGCTTCTCTGGGTTTTCAACCCCGCCCCCACAGAGCCTGTCCTACCTGACTCTGCTCTGCCGCCACCAAAACTGGATTGTTGTTGTTGTTGTGAAATGCCATTGAGTCACTGTATAAGGTTTCCAAGGAGAAACTGGTGAGCTTGACTGCCAACTTTGCAGTTCAAACGGCTTTGCAATCTGGCGCATTAACCCACAGCGCCACACCAGGACTCCAAAACCGTATTAAGCAGTGTTAATACAGCAGTAAAATAGTCAGTTGGTAGGCCATAGTACTCCTCATCCATTTTCTGTTTGGTTGATAGTCTGTTAACCAGATTATTCTCTATTAGCTTCTTATTTGGTTTGGAATGAAGTTTGATCGTTTGCAATTTCTGAGGTAACATGTTCTTGTTAGGTGCTATCAAGTCTGTTCCAACTCATAATGACCCTTTGTACAGTAGGACAAAACCCTGCCCTTTCCTGTGCCATCTTCACAATTACTGCTGTATTTGAAACTGGTTGCAATCACTGTGTTAGTCCATCACCCTGAGAGTCTGCCTATTTTTCAGTGACCCTGTACTTTACCAAGCATACTGTCCGTCTCAAGGGATTGGTCCTTCCTGATAACATCTCCAGAGTATGTGTGACAAAGTCGTGCCATCTTTATCTAGGCTTGTTCTGGCCATTCCTCTTCCAAGACAAATTTGTTTGTTCTTTTGTCCCTCTGTGGTGTATTCAGTATTCTTGGCATTGACTGTGGATCTAAATGAAATAAAATTCTTGACAACTTTAATGTTTATTTATTGTGATGGAGAATTTTTGTTTTCTTTATGCTGAAGTGTAATCATACTGAAGGCTATATTCGATTTTCATCAGTAAGTGCTTTAGAAGTTCTCTTCACTTTTAGCACACAAGGCTGTGTCATTTGC